AAAACAAACACTCTTACTACTTCCTTTCCAAAAAAAATGACAAAACAAAAATGTAAAACGTTTTTCGTGAAAATGGATATTCGATCAGGAAAGTATTATACTAATTCATAATCCAGCAATTTTTAGCCCTTAATCTAACTTTCATTGAGCCATTTTCTTAGAAAATTGAGAAGGTTTTGCTATAGAGTAATTCTTTCAACCGGGTAACTGAACCTCGTCCGATTCTTCCGGTTCTGTTCTCCGAGTTTGTAATTTTTTATTGCCTTCCTGCTTCAATCGGATTTTCTATATCTCGAAATCAAATATCTAARTTTATATTTCAACAAGTAAAATACTCCTTAATGCAATTCTTTTAATCGCTATAGTTATGGCTTGACGTTGATGGTAAAGATAAGTATAGATTACGTTGAAAGAGTTCGATAAAGCTTTTCTCTACTTTTGAATAAGCACCACCGATAATCTGTCACTGACCGCGCGCGTGCGATTCATTCTCTTGAAAATAATTTCATCATCGTTAAAAAAAAAACTAAAAAACAACATTAATTGCTAAAACGAATAAAAAAAATTAGAATCACACTCGCATATCAACTATACTTCTTTAAAAGGTGGTAGTATTTGACAGTTTTAGTAATGAAAAAGATTTTAAAATATCAATGATTTTTGGTTCAGTCGTTTAATTTATTTACGTATCTTTCCGCTTTTCTTTCAACTCGAGTATTTTTATCCCGCCCGTCGTTAAGATTAATTTTCCCCTCGTTAAGATCGTGGTTGATGTTACCCTTCGGCGTCCTCGTTTGTTTGAAGTGAGAGACAAACTCAACGAGGAAGTCCGGTTTGCAACGGCAAATCACCAGATTGTACTTGAAGAACGACCGGATAGACTCCAGTTCAATAAGATTAAAATTTAATTAATTGACTYATAGATGATGGAAAGTCCGTCAAGTAAGATCGACCTGGCGTGGAACTCTGAGAGGACGCGCATTTGAATTCATTTGACACTTTGCTTATCAGATAGAGTTTTTAACGTTTTAGAGTCTTATCCTTTGAGGGACGATTTGTATGAGTGGGAAACAAGCGAGAATTTCGTAAGCGCATTTTACTTTACGCAATCGTAATTAACGCAATGTGATTTGATGACTCACACGCGGAAGGAATGGGAAACCTTTTCAATGTTACGGCAGGTTGCACTGTAAGTGTACGTGCTGTTAAGAAAGTACCGTTTGTTCACTACACTATACTAATAATAGAAAAACTTCTTTTAGATTGTCTTTCAATGTTACGGCATGTYGTTCGGTTTCTCGAACGTTTCCATTCACACGAAAACCGTACGATTCCAAAAACCGCTGTAATTGGAGCGTGATAAATTTTAGTTCAAGGAAGTCTTATTAAAAMCGCATTAACTTTTAGTAGAGTCAAGCAATAAAACTGAAGAAGTTTTAAAATGATTTTTAAAACATCTGCACGTTCAGCATTATCATGAAAACATGTTGGTACAACGCGGAAATAAGTGATGGATTTTTTCATAAAAGATTATAAACGCGCACGCAACTGAAGTATAAATTTACTAAAAAACTGCAATCCCACACACTAAAARTTTTCCCACTTTTTAAGTGGATTTACTTCTATTGAATCAACTGGTTTGAGGAGGATGGTCAAATACTTACCAASGGAGAAAGTGCAGCTCAAGACGCGAAGATCCCAGAATCGCAAGTAATAATGTTTGTTGAAGAGAGTTTTGTCCTTATGCTTATCTAGCGTGTTGCTGTAGTGCAATTGCCCGCTGTTTGATCTATCTTTTCGTATTACAACTGTGTAAATATGTAGCGCACGTGATTCGATTTAGACAAAATAATGGTAAMCATGAAAAAACTTGAATGACTTTTATGTCTAGAAACTGATCAACCTTTGTGTGAATTCGAGTAATATACGAATGACATTATAGTAGACGCAAAACCGACTGAAAAAAAAACTACTTATTTTCAGTAGAGTAAAGAGTTCAAAGATGAAAAATTCCAAAACTTTTTTCAGGGAAAATAACTGGTGAYTGCACGTCTCGCAATTAACAGGTATACCAGGTACTCTTATACTTTTGCGAGATTTTTTTTCTCAAAATGTTGTCACAAAATGTGTCTAGAGAAATGAAATAACAGTCTTGACAATATCCACAGTACAATTAATATACAAAGAGTTTATATAAATAAGAAGTTAATTTTATGAAGTACTAAATAAGAAAATAACACATCATTTAATAAAGAGGAGAATTTTTACAATGAACGATGTAACCACTGAAAGCTAAACTAAGGCTGTTGAATAACTGCTGATAGAACTGCGGGTAGCACTTCTAACTCACAAATCGAGTCCTGAAACAACCTCTGGACTGATCTAATTCAGGGCATGGCTAACTTGCAGATCAAACCCTGAAACAATTTAATCAGGGCACGGCTAACTCACAGATCGAACCCTGAAACAACTTCTCGGTTGATCTAAGTCAGAGTACGCCTATCTCCCAGCTCAAACCCTGAACCCTGAAACAGCCTCTGGGCTGATCTAAGCCGTCTGAGTACGGCTAACTCACAGATCAAACCCTGCAACAACTTCTCAGTTGATAGTAAGTCAGKGTACGGCTAACTCACAGATTGAATCCTAAAACAACCTCTGGGTTGATCTCAGTCAGGGATCGTTTAACTCAAACACGAACTCGGCTCAAATTTGTGTTCTTTTGAGCAGTTTTTTAGACTTGACATGGGTATTCAATTTCTCAATACTTCAGTAATATTCTATAGAACAATGCTACATAAYTTTCGAGCGTGTTTTCCGAAGTAATAAATCTTTAATTTGTTCAATTCAGTAACTTCAWTGCCATCGAAAGGTGTTTATGCCACATAGAAAGAGTTATTAGGGTGGCTTTTTTCTAGTAAAACTTAGAATAATCTTTTGATAAATAAAATAGTTTTGAAACGGTTAGAAAGACTACGAAAGGGAGCCAGTAGTGCTCGAGTCTCAGATTCTAACTCAACTTTCTCAACGAATCGGGAGAAGTAAAGAGCCACAGGACCGTGCCAGTCTGAAATATCGGTAATTTGATTTTAAAAATAATTCGGACATCATCCCGTGCACTCTATGTTGCCGCATAATTTGAACAACTTGATAATGGATTTCCAAAATAGTTTCTAAATTAGGAATCAAGAAATACTATTTATGTAGGCGTTCTTGGAATATTTGAAACATGTGATGATGGATGGAAYAAAAAACCTATTCGAGCTCTTATTGTTTTCTTATTAATTTTTAAACCATCAATTTTTAATTATGACAGATAAAGATTAAAGGATGTGGAAAGTATTAGATTCATTCTTTTTCATCACGTATTTCAGGAGGGGTGTTTTGAGCTGTGATCTAAGGGGRAAAATGTAAGGGGATAATGAGAGCGACGCGAAACAAGTGAGATCCTTTTGTTGGACCCCACAACGGATAGATTCTATTGATAAATAATCCCTTGAGATTTTTCTTTATGCTTAATCTATCCCGTAAGCGTAGATTKTGTTGACCGTCCTTTAGGAAGTACGTAAGATATCTTCAAATTCCGGACCGGGGCACCTGCTTTGGTTTTGTATACTACTACGCATGCGCAATACAAACCTACCCAACTAATACTATTATGCCGTCGAAAAAAGCTAACAATTTCCAAATGCTTCTTTTRACCGAGTTATCTGGAGTTAAAAATAAACTTTTGCGTTGGATGGATTGAGACCGTGAGAAACTCTAAGCCTGTACGTTGTCATCAATAGTTAAATACGCCCGTGGACGTCCCTTTTAAGSGTATTTACACAGAAGAAAATTAAACATTACAGACACCAACAAAGATAGATTTTCATGAAATAAAACCAAAAAAAGCACTTCCACAAGGTAAAGCTTACGATACTAATGAGGTTTCAATGGCTTGGAAGATGATTACGGGTTGTCTTGTATTGTCAATTGYGGAGAACAACAAATGGCTTTCCGCTTGGCGCAGTTATAAATTATGATAAGCTAAACAAAGACGAGAGTGTGGGATTCAATCACATAAATGATAAGGAAAAAGTGGTAATTCTGTAGTTTGACGTAAGTACCACCTGTATGTTAGGACGAGCTGTACGGTCGAGCGAGGATTATCAAGCAGAGTCGCAATACCCTTATAAACTACAGCACCGTACGCGTGTCTACCCTCGAATAACACTTCACTGAAAAGAACAGGTCGGTGGTAGAGCACCTCAAGTGATAACCCAAATTTGAAACATCCTTCATCTTAAACCAGGTAAAATYGAATTACATTTTAAGAAATAGAACAATTAACTTTAAGAAAGAAATGTTTCGGCTTTACGTMCACTGCCATCTTCAGTTCATCTGCAAAGTAAGATTCCTTTGCACCAGTTTCTGCAGTACRTACTGCCGAAAYATGTCTTGCTAAAGGTCAATTTGTTGTCTTAATTTCTTAAAATCTACTTAACTTTGCTGCCTTCCAGACCTATT